GATTCTGTCTTCTAACGATTCTAATGGATTCACAAGTTTCAAAACCAATGTTCTAAAGCAGCAGTTCTTAATCCTGTTCCTCGCATCGCCCTGCTCTGCATCGGTCTCTTTCTCGCTCTCTTTCATTCAGATCGTCAGATCAGCTCCAACAAACTGTTCCATTTATACACTTATTTTCACATAGCTATGAGGAAGCATTATACATGGACGTGCGTACTGTTGCTGTCCTGTATTAAAGCTTTAATCAGAATAAAACCATATATTAAAAGCTAACAGAAGCAGTAGCATTTACAAACAACAGCATATCTAAAAGTATGGGACAACAACAAACAAACATACCATTAAGAGCAGTGCTTGCACAGGTTCTGCGGGATCCTCTTCATTAATATTCTCTGCGTCTTAATTGGGCTCAGACTGAGAAGCAATATAGAGGACGTCATTGTTTACAATACAACTGAAGCACATTCTGAGCTTGAGGGGCAGGATGTTCAGACGCGCTAGAGGCGGTTTAGCGAATCACAACACACTGAGCCAGCTGACCAATCTCAGGCCATCGCGTATTTCTGAGGGAGGGGCTTCATAAAAACAGGAAATAATCGAGGCGTTTGTTAGAGAAGGGACAGATCGGTGTGGAATAAAGGTAAATTATGTGAAAAATAATGCGTTTTTAAAAAAACGAAGCATGAACACATGTTAGACTGCATCCCATAAACACAATCAAGCCTAGAAAAAACCCAGTCAACCACCCCTTTAAACCGCATAAACACATTTCATTACACCAAATACACAAAATAATGTTCTTTTTAGCAACATCATATGACCCCTTTAAGTCCTGGAAAGCCCTTGAAAACAGCCATACTTATGCAAAGGTACTTGTAAAGTACTTGAATTTTAAAAGGCAGTATATATGAAATTACTGTTAATTTTTGTTTTCGATTAAAAAAAAACCTTTTCACGCAAAATTAACAATGCAGTGCAATATAAATACAGAGCCATTTCACCTGACTTTCAAGAGTGCACGAGATCTCGCGAAATGTGACAATGATACTCCTAGGTGAAAAGCGGTCTCATATAAGTATAAAGTTAAATTTGTGGTAGAACCTTTGATAGTGCTTGCATTATATTGTTCGGTCTTTTATTACATGTGCTGTTTGTTTGGGTTTATATGCATTCCCAAATGCACGTGTTTGTAAAGTCTGACGCGCTTTGTGTTGCACTGTTATCATTTACAAGCGTGGAGCACGTCTCCATCTCAGCAGCTCGATCGACAAACTTTTCCTCTGCATATGCTGTGAGTTTGGGTTGCTTAACGTCTCACTAGATTTGTAACGCAAATCATTTATAAACCAATGCCAATACAGGAGAATACATCAACATCTTTCTAAATATGCGATTTGTTGTCCATATACAATTTTAAACCCTCGCTCTGAGTCTGCATGTGGCCAAATATTAAAATTAAATTGATTTAAACGTCCTTTGGCCAATATCAAGCAAGGATTTGAATCACACTGTAAAGTGAAACATCACAGGCCGTTGGCGCCCTCTGG